CAATTTAATATGACAATCTTTTACAACATTCCTGATCATACACACATATTCATGCCGTATCACGACTTTGGGGATCTCACTCGATACAACTAATTGTTGAAGAGATTTGTAGATGAAAATTTCGACTGGAATTTTTATACATTTATATTAGACCTAACCAGGAACAGTTGCGAAAAAATGTACCCTTTCATGATCCCCAAGTAACCCTCAAGGGTCCCCTGATACCCCTCAAGGACCATCCAGTTCACCCCAAAGCTCACTCAATCCTCGGACAACCGCTGCGGCCCTGAGATTCCGGTGTAGCGCTCTAACCAATGCAACTGAGCTGCAGAGACATAGCCCTCGAGCTCTAACCACAAGTTTATGCATAAACATCACTGACTTGTATACAATCCATCCATGATCTATATTTAACTGTATGTACTTTACGATAACATACAGATACGTCAGCTGACGTTAACAAGTTAAATAAAAAACTGAACATTTTTGGATATCATGATGACTTCATGAAAACCTCAACAAGAGTAAAACCCCCTGCTAAGACTGAACAACTACAAGCGGATATTAAACTAATAAACGGTAATAAACTCAACCTCTTCGAACTTTAAGAGGTTTACTGATTCCTGAATGAATTATCAGAAAAATAATTGTCTATTCCTTCGGTTTAGCTGTTGTTTTATAGGTCTTTGAGCGAAAAATGATATTTTTGAATTCCACGTTTTAATTAACAATTATTCGCCGAAGGCGAGGTGATTATCGGTGAATAAAAACCGAGACGAAGTCGAGGTTTTTATTCACGATAATCACCGAGCCTGAGGTGAATAATTGTTTTAGTATAATTTCATAGGTGATTATATGGAAAAAAATAAGAAAGTACACATTTCTTTGTCATTTAATTGACAAAAAGGCTTCGGCCGCCATTTTGAAAATCGCTTAGGTGATTATCGCGTAATAATCACCTCAACGGCAACCAATCAGCGTGGAGAATTTTCAATAATCACCTATGTAATTATACTAATGAATGTTAGTATAATTACATAGCTGATAATTGAAAATTCTCCACGCTGATTGGTTGCCGTTGAGGTGATTATTACGCGATAATCACCTAAGCGATTTTCAAAATGGCGGCCGAAGCCTTTTTGTCAATTAAATGACAAAGAAATGTGTATTTTCTTATTTTTTTGCAAATAATCACCTATGAAATTATACTAAAACAATTATTCACCTCAGGCTCGGTGATTATCGTGAATAAAAACCTCGACTTCGTCTCGGTTTTTATTTACCGATAATCACCTCGCCTTCGGCGAATAATTGTTAATTAATTGCAAACTGAGAATGTCTAATCGTCGCGCTTTTTTTCGCGTCTCGCGCTCTTTTTTTCGCGCCTTTTTTTGTGCCTTTTTTCGCGCCTTTTTTCACGCCGTTTTCGCGTTGTTTTCCGAATGTTTCGTCGTGTAGTCTAAACTTCCGATTGTATTTTAAATTTTAGCATATTTTTCAAAAGTTTAGCTGTTTCTATTCAGATTTTAATTCTCAGGCCATTTTTTGCACTTTGTTTACGTGAAACAATCTCGTTTTGTTCTTTTTGTCATTGGTTTCTCAAGTGTTCTTTAATTTCTCTAAACAGAAAAAAGTTCATCGTTTTTCAACAAGGTCCTCGTTGCTCGTGGACTTGCTTTTTTGATTAAAGTTGCAAAGGTAAGACCTTTACTGCATAATACTATAAATTTTCAAAGATATAAAATTAGGTTCTGTGTATTTGATGATACAAGTTTTAAGTACTGTTTTGTATTTCGAAACAAGTGCAATTTTAGTAACTTACTGAGAGGGCTTGAGAGCGAGGGCAGTGAAACAAGGCACGAAAAAAGGCGTGAAAAAAGGCGCGAAAACAAGACTCGAGACGCGAAAAAAAGGCGCGAGGTGTGAAAAAAAGACGCCAAGGCGCGAAGATTAGGCTATCTCTTGCAAACCATAACTCATTCGTTTCGTTAAACCAAGTTGACATTTGAAAACCTCAAATGAAAATTCCTCATCTAAATTTTAATTAAAATATGCATGGTCATAAATGACAAAGCATATAAGTTTTTGTGGTTTTGGTGGTCTTATATTGTTGACGTAAATCAATCATTACTAAGGCTTTGTCACCATCAACAGACCGGAAATAGCCAATAACCGCAGTGTATATTACATCCGGTTGCATCTATTCATACGTCAAAGACAGCAATTGTAACTATATCAACTGATTGATATACGTGGCAAAAATGTCCCCTTTACACCGATGTCATTGAAATATATATACATTCTGGAACTTTCTTTTTTAGATATAGTTCTAGCTAATACTATAAGTGTATCAATGCCATTCTTGAAATTATACTTTTTCCGGAAAAAGTGTGCATATAACTATAAGGTCGGAGGATGTTTCTGATTTGCATGGACTTTCTTACGGTTGGCTTTGTGTGCAATGTGCTTGCTTTTTGTTTGTACGTTGTGATATTTTTTTATATTTATCAACAATAACTATAAATATTGCAAACATTCAATAATAAGACTGTTTCCCGTTTCGCCGACTATAGAATCTCTGCGTGGTATTTCCGTTATACTGCTGGTGCCGGAATTAATATTTTCGTCTTCGACATATTCAATTCTTGAAATAGTCAAAACAACGGCGATTTAAAATAGCGAAAGTTTTCTTAGACAACTTGCAAAGCATCCTGGCAGCCTCCAGATAGCTGCATGTATATTATATGTCCAGCAAACTGCTTATAAGTAAAATTTGATCACATTATGCGATGTCACATCCGGCTATATAATCCATGCAAATTCTAAACATTCACAGTTATAGGCAATTCCAGCTTTTAGTTTATGCGTGCAGGGGATGGATGGAAAAGCCAGGTATCATATTGCTGATTATGCTGAAAAAAATAAAAATGGCGGTCGTGTAAACACAGAGTGATAGCTTATACTTACAAATATTGAAATATTTCGGTTGTTTCGGCAGTTTTTATTGAAATTTTTCAGCATAATCAGCAAGATGATACCTTACTTCCCGTCACCCCCTGCGCGCATAAATTAAAAGCTGGAATTGCCTATTCCCAGTTATTTCCTGGTGATGTGGGCTGCAGCTCACAATATTATCTGCAGCTGACATCGATTCGTCCTTACCAGTTGTGATTTAACTTCCCGGATGTTTTAATAATACGCGGAGCTTTCTACAAGGAAGACTCTCTTTTCACATTTCGAATTTATATATATAATATTGAAATTTTGCATCCTAAAATCCTTGATTGTTCATTTACAGGCACCTTTTACATTATTTGTGTTAATACCTATATTTAATTTTTTAAGCCAATAATAATTTGAAACACTATCATTCGTATGTAAAAATATACAAATTTGAAAAGAAAATGTTTTTACCGTTTATTTGTATCAATTTAAATTACTTGAACCTTTGATAAATAGTGCAACTGAGCTTCCAACGATTAATTGCATAACACACCATCTTTTCATTATTAAGGCTTTTGACAGTATTTTTGTCACCTTATATATAGTTTCTTAACTTTCTTTGACAAGAACATGCTACCCGTTCTTTTCATGACTTTGATATTTATATGTAATAACGTAAAATTTGCATATTCAAAATTCTTGACTAGATTTAAGCTCCCCTAGCTTAAGGAATATTTCCGCATTGACCGCAATGTTGGTAATTTTGTTCACTTTGCCTCTTGGGCCATAGAGATTATAAATAACACTAGAGGAGGCATTGTAATCTTAATTAAAAAAGGGAACACGGCTATTGGGGTGCAAATTTAAGTCCCGGATGTGTATTCATGTTTCCATTGGTGACGAGTTTCAAATCAGCCAATCAGAGCATGATTTTATATCCGGGACTTGAATCCCCCCCATTAGCTGCGTTCCCAATTTTTAACCTCGATGCCTCCTCTAGTGTTATTTATAATCTCTACGTCTTGGGCAGCAATCACGAATCTTAATATACCACCCCACCCCCTCCTCCAGCGACCCTGACTAGATTAGACCTTAGATCTAATATTTGAGAAGATATATTTAGCTTTTCCCTAATAATGTGGCCATGTTAGTTTTTGGTTAGGGTTAGGAGTTAGGCAGAAAAATCACAACTTGCCGTCCTGTTTACACTACGACGGAGCGGAATTAAGCCCGTTTTCCACTCACGTATTTCGCTGCCGCTGGCCGAAAATATTGACAAAGAAATCATTTTTTACATTCATTCGCCGCTGAAGAAATTTGTTCTCCTGCTACAGTTGCTTAAAATTTTCAACTTCTGTTTGACCTTTCGTTGACGGCGCGAAAAAACAACAAATGAACTTTTTCGGTGGCGAAATTTTTCGCCAGCGGCGGCGAAATACGTGAGTGGAAAACGGGCTTTAAGGCTGTATTCCAGTTACGCGTTTTTCATACGTGCGTACACGCACGTAAAAGTTGAATTCGCTTATATAAGTGCAAATAACCTTAACAAATACATATTAAATCATACACAAAACTGAATGCTGTCCTTTTATAAATTTAGTTATTTCATAAGTAGGATGTAAAGCGAATTCAACTTTTACGTGCGTGTACGCACGTATGAAAAACGCGTAACTGGAATGCAGCCTTTAGTTGTAGTTGAAAACGTCCGTTTTGCCGTAACAATTTGAGCACGGTTTCCAAAGGCGGAGCGAGATGGGAACGGCGTACAACGGTTACTTTTTTGTTCCGCTTGCAAAGGTCTAGCATCGCAGATACATGTCTCAAAACAGTAAATTCAATTGCTTTTCGTTAAATTTCAGTTGCTCCATTTGAAATATTTGCAGGGGTTTACATATTGAGTGCATGCTAATTTAATTTGTGAACAAAATGTAACGGCGTGATGTGAACAAACGCCATAAATTCTACCGGCATTATTTCGCTCTGATATAAAATAATGATTATTCAAGGACACTGTCGCTGCATAGTTTAGCCAAATCGGTATAATTATACTCACAAGTTTAAATAAAACTCTGTTGTGTGTCGATATCACAAATCTTGAACTGATTCTCTTTCGTCTTTTTTGCAGGCAATGTCAATCCTGAAACATATGGAATGCAATAATTAGGATGATGCAGCTGTAACGGAATTACATATGGTTCAAATACAATATCATGCAAGCTTGAGTGCACGTTCTCAGGCACTTATAGTCGAGATCTTATCACGGAATTGCGTCAAACTTTGATAACCCTTGCTCCTTTTATTATTTTTCATGCTTCATCTCATTTTCACACGACCTCACTCTGAATAATAAGACAACTCTAACAGTTGCTATGTAATTATGAATCATAATTTATGATGCATGAAATACTGTATAAAAAAATCTTTTGAAATTCAAGCACACGCATACACATGTACGTACGACTTGAGAGCTCGCATAACGTAACGATGCAGATTTCGACACTCAAGGCAACTCAGGAGTCAGGCCACTTAGCAGCATGCAGTTCAGCAGCCTATAATATATACCTAAAATGCTCTTTACTCGGAGTGTTTTTTGTTGACACCGTTTATTAAAGTTCATATTAAACGATTATTTCTAATCAAAGTCATTAAGTTATTCCACAGTAGAAAAATGTTAAATAAGTGGTATTACGATGATTAAATAATCTAACAAGGGAAAATCATGCATTACCTATTTTCCCCTTCGCCAGCGAAATTCATTTTGGCTCATTGCCCCCCCCCCCTAAAAAAAAACTTGCCGGCGTCACTGTTTACTCCATTCTTCACAATCAAATAATACTATGTTGGATAACGTGAAATGCTTTGCCGCTGTATTATAATATACAGTATATTCTTGAGGCTGCCTGGAAAGATCAGGCCTGGTTCTTCACAGCTGGATTATGATATTATCCGATCCCTAATCCTGGGTTAAAATTTAACCCGGTGTTTTAGTTGTGCGTGTGTATCTTGCCACGCCCGTCTAATTCAAAACGTCAGAAAAGAAAAGCGGGTTCTGGTATTGATTCACAAAGCGGGATTTCTGAAGAAATATTTCCAAGTTTATAAACAAACAAAGTTTATAACAAGTTGTTGGATAAGTTTTCTTTGAATTTTAGTTAATCTATAGGGTTAAGCTAACGCCAGGTCGATGACAGCCGGTCCCCAGAGCAATAAATGGACAACGGCATGGGGGAGGATAGACTTGGATCAAGTCCGTCTCTCTAGAGAGACGGACTTGATCCAAGTCTAGGGGGAGGATTGACATTCCCAATCGATGATTTGCAATATTATTGATATAATAGTACTGGTTTTAAAAACTGACCAGCTAAATATATTGAATTATAAACATTAATTTTTATTACACTTGAACTTGGCTCTGTCAAGTATTAAGTTTTAAGGGCATTTTTTACCGGTCCAATATATACTACCGCACAAGATGCTTTTATTATTTAAACATATTTATCCACGGTAACCTTTCAGTTGCCTGTTTTTCAAAGGGCCGTGGTCTAAAACTATTAAAAAGATATAAAACTAAATCTAAACCTAAAGTATAACACATGCACTAACATTTATTCAAATTGAAGTACAACATGCATAACGACCTTACATTGCAAGTAAACATTCGATAAAATTTCGGGAAAATTTCGCTATCTTAGCAATTTTTAATTAATTTAATAAGCCTTTTGAACTGATTCATTGAAAGATGCTCATGTTCCTCGAGAATTTCGTTTGGAAGTTTATTCCATGACACTGCTGCGCGGTAGGAAAAACTTTTCTTAAGGAAGTTAGTGTTTGGTTTTGATAAGTGAAGTTTTCGTTCGTTACTTCTCAATGCATAATTGTCGTTCTGGGACATAGTAAACATTTCTGTTAAATATTTTGGTGTCATTTTGTTAATTGCCTTAAATGTCACTGTTTGTTCACGTTGTTCGAGGATATTTGCAATGGGCTCCCAATTCAATCTATTTAAGATCTCTGTTGATCTTATGTCATACCCTGAGTTAGTGATAACACGTGCTGCTCTTTTTTGTAATTTACTTAATTTGTCAATGTGGGTGATATTTCCGTTGTGCCAAACTGTTGAGCAGTAAGTGAAATGTGGTAGGACTAGTGAATTGCATGTACATTGTAATAAGGGCATTTTCTGTCAGAAAACTTTTTGCTCTTCTCAAAAGTGCAATCAATGTTTTTAGAAATTTTTGCCCATTGATTATCTGTATGGTTATGCCAATTAAGTTGTTCGTCAAGAACCACTCCTAGGAATTTTTTGTTAGAAACTCTCTTTATCATATGATCTCCTATTAATATGTCAGGATCTGAATTTATTTCGTTAAGCCTTTGTCTCGAACCAACAATCATATATTCTGTTTTCTCAGCACTTAAAGTTAGTTTGTTAGCTAATAGCCAATTATGAACACTGTTCAAGTCTGAGTTAATTTTTTGTTGAATGTCAGTTGCTAATTTTCCGTCACAGGATATATTAGTGTCATCTGCAAACATTGATGCTTTTGTAGACCTTAAGCAATTTGGTAAGTCATTGATGTAAAGTAAGAAAAGCAGTGGTCCTAGATTTGAACCCTGAGGGACATTACGCAAGTAATTGTAGCTCCATCTGATATTTCGTGATTAATTTTGCAAACTTGCTTTCTCCCTTTCAGATATGAAATAAACCATTGTAATGCTTTTCCTCGTACTCCGCAAGGCTCTAATTTTGAAATGAGTATGTTGTGGTCCACATGCAGTGTCAAATGCTTTTTTGAGATCAAGAAACAGTAGACCATTAATAAGGCCCTGCATGGTCCATATTTACAAGACATTGATTTACAGAATATAAGAGTGCAGTCTCTGTGGTGTGTTTAGTGCGAAATCCAGATTGATTTGTGGATACTATCTGATGAAATTCTAAAAAAATTATTTAGTTGCCTAGAAACCAGCTTTTCAAAAATTTTTGCTACTGCTGATGTTACTGAGATAGGTCTGTAATTATCGCAATCCATCTTGTCCCCTGATTTGTAAAGAGGGGTTACCTTAGTGTGTTTCAAATCGTCTGGAAAAATTCCGGTATCGATAGATAGATTAAAAATTTGACTTAAGGAGCCGATAATGGTCTCCCCGGCTGCTTTTAGTAGTTTATTTGAAATTTTATCCAAACCTGTTGATTTCCCGGCTTTTGCTTTGAATATCTCGCATCTTAATTTATCCATTGTTATATAATTTAGCTCGAATACCTCAGTCACTGGTGTCACCTAGTTAAGAGGGTCGGTATTGTTGCAAGATAAATTCTCACTCAATTTTCCACCAATTGTAGAAAAATAATTGTTGTCGAATGCTGTTGCAATATTTTTTTTCACCAGTAACTATACTATCCCCAACTTTTAATTCGTTAATTAATGTGGACTTAGATTTTTTGTTCAATAGTAAATTGATTGTTCTCCATCCTTCCTTACTGTTCATAGTACTTTCTAGCTTGTTCTTAAAGTATATAGCTTTAATATATCTTTAATAAGATTGTTAACACGATTTCTGCAATTCTTGTATAGTTCATGATATATTGTCGAATTATGTTTAATTGCTTTTCTCTTTAGAAAATCTCTATGATAGCTCATATTCTTAATTTCGTTTGTCATCCAAGGGTTATATTCACTTTTTACCTTTCTTTTTAGTAATGGGGCATGAATGTCAGCAATTTCCAAAAATATTTCCTTCCATGTGTACCAGGCAGTATTTGCATCAGTGCAATTGTAAAACAAAGTTGAGTTAAGTGCTTGGTTAAGGTCTTGCTGGAAATTGTTAATGTTAAAGTGCTTGAATTGTCTTGTTTCTACTACTTTAGGTTTTGCTTTTGGAATACTAACCTTTCTGCATGCATAAATAAAGTCAAACTGAACGGTACTCTAATTCTTCCAGCATGCGACTGAGATGAAATTAATAATCAATTGTACATGGACACTGTATAAAAATCGAGCCGCAGTCTCAGGGATAGATATAGTCTGCGAACCCATACGTCATACAGACTAAGGGGTAGAGGACACTGTCTTCCAGTGAGATGTCCGATAGTTTCGCAACTGCTCTAAATGTATAAAATTCCAATGGAAATTTTCATCTCCAAATCCCTTCAACAACTGCCAATGCCAACCGCGGACAGATATATTCATATCACATCATATCAATTCGTGCAAGGGATTATATTATTAAAAAAAAATTATCGACACAAGCAAAAAATATTTAAAAAATATTCGTACAAGTTAATAAAGTCCCCCAATCACTTTCTAATGGTCCGCCCCTTATCACGCTTTTTGAGTCAAAACATCAGCTAGTAACTGCGTGACATTAGCGTCGTTTCGTCTAAAAACAGAAAATTTCGAAGTTCATGTTGTTTTTAAAAATAGTATCACAACCATACTGTAGTTTTCAATATTAAGCCTCAATTTTTTTTGTACTGAGTAACTCTGACCTGCTCTTTTCCTATTTGGTTTTGATAAAGTTCAATAGTTAACATCAAATTTTAAATCGACTCAAAAAGCATGATATATCAGCACTCACTCCACCTTTGAATTTACTATGAGTAAATTGTTAAACACGACCGAAATTATCAATATGATAAATTCGCGACACATGTTGAACACTAACCCTAACATAATCTTAATCTAACCCTATAATCTAATCTTTATCTGACACTAATCTAAACTTGATGACATTTTTTATTTTTTTTAATAATTTCTTATAAATCCTTCAAAACGTAGATATGTCTACGCAAAATGGCTACCTACTGTGAGCAAAGAAATTTTGATAGTGTAAACCAAGCTTTACAAATTAATCTTTCAAAACTAAAAGTGAAATACACAAAGACCGCCTGGATTTAATTAAAAATGACGCTGTAAAGTGCAACGCAGCGTAAAATTATTCATGCCGTGTTTTTTTTTTGTTTTCACAATCTTTGCGTGAAAACAATCCTATAACCGCTTCCAACAGGTAATTCTAGAAACTTAAACGTTTTATTCTAATAATAAGATTAAGAGTGTGAGTTTGCGATATACAGTATATATAGCATAACGCTGCACGAGTCGTCCAACGTGAACGTGATAACTTAATTTGCCTTGAACATAATATACGTGCCTTATCAGAGAACCGACAAAGTATGGTCAGGAACGAGACTATACTGTGTGTTGTATATATGGCTTATAGATATGTTGGTTCGAACCAGCTTTGATCATGAATCCGACGATCTTAAACGAGGATGCAATAGCTGTGTTCCAGATGACAGATCTCGCACAGTTATTTATTACTATAGGCTAGCATTGAAAATTCAAACTAATAGATGAGCATCAAACATATATCACCTTTACGCAACTGACGCATGATTTCAATTGCCTCGATGCCCTGCACTAATACTAAAACTCTGGGACATATGCAGGTATTGCCTTTTTTGTGCATGGGGACATCTCGTATATACTGAAGCTCCTTAATTAATGACCTATATCTATACATAAACTCCAAATGTCCAACCACAAATATACAGTATACAACTTGTCTTATATTAAGAACATCTTAATTAAAATAGTCTCTATCAGTTTGATAAATCATTATTTCTATAGTTTATACCGCATATCAAACGAACGGAAATATCTCAAAAAGAGGTGAGAAGCTGAACAAACGTTTCTTTTAAATTAAAAGAATTTACTTTATGGGCATGGCATGTAGCTATACTAGGTAGGAGCCACGTAACAGGCATGACGCATTGCATGGGTATAAACAATTTCTGGCTTTAAAAATAAGCAGAATATAAAGTCTGGTTCAAAGCATAAGCAAAAATACAGGGTGTATAAAAAAAATGTACACCCTTTCAAATTCAAATTATAGCCATAACCTTAGGCTTTTAAATATTCGTTGCTCTGCAGTAAGCTGGCCCTTTTTATATCTTATATGCAGACTTGAATATAATGCTTAATTTAAACATTTTTCTTTGAGTTGTGTATTTGTTCATATACAAAGTAAATTCCCATGGCCATGTGCAGAATACCTTGTGTTTTCACGCATTCATTAATTCGAGAAATTATACGGCTGTCAAATTACTACAATAGATTAGTACGTTCAATTTGAATTTGAAAGGTGTACATTTTTTTATACACCTTGCATGTACACAAGAAAATTTCACCTTTGCAACTTGCAAAGACAAAGCGGGCAAAAACGGGCAGTTTTCCTTATAAATGGTTAGAGTTTCCCTTCCTTAGCCGTTATGCGAGGCTATATATGCCAATATGGTCGTATGCATGCTTCATTGCATTTCTTTGTCAGTTTCGCCTTTTGTCATTTCTCATGCCTGTGTTTATCTCACTCGTGTGAACCAGGGTTAAGTCGTCATTTCTCACCGAGTCTCGCACTTTCAGTGTAGGAAAAAATCAGTGTGCCTTCAATGCACAATTCCTATACTGTGATCACAGGAACTTTGATAGTGCAAATCGCCCATACAATCGTATCAAACGTACGTCATATAAGATTAAAGATGACCTACAGAGTACAGTATAAAAGCCAATATTTAAAGGCATTCATTTAAATATTCATTCAATCTAATGATTGTAGTGTTTGAAGTGGCAATATCAAGTGAATGATTTTTGATGACGCTTCATACTGTGCAAGCTAGACAATACAGTTTGACTCCGGTGGGAATCGAAGGAACTAGATTTAATCCCGAAAACGGACTTCGGCGTAGCTTGGTTGAGTATTCGACTAGCTAGTAGCAAATCAAGGGTCGTCGGTTCGATTCCCACCGCGGTCAAGAATTTTTTTTCAGCTTGCATGTCCATTGCGGAGTGACTCGCTGTATAGCGTCATCTAAAATTCATTGTATGATTTATATGTCATTATATAAAAGGTAATTTGGAACAAAAGGAAGAATAAAAGTTATTTCGGAAAGCAAGTATAGTGATTGTAGATGCTTCTCTTTCAGAAAATTAAGATCCGGTTCGAAGTTTTCCTATAAATTATATATCATTATATCTATAATTTGACCTTGCCCTTTGGGCTTGGCTATACACAGTATCACGGGATATAGATGATAAAAAATTCTTTTCAGGAGCTGTAGAGGGGCATAATTCCAGAATGCCCAGACTGTTTGAAACTGACATGCCTTATTATTACATGACTTCGTGACTGTAGCTATGTACATCAGTACCCGGTTATATGTGATCACATTTGGTTGTATAGTATAAGTTAGGGTTAGGGAAGGGTTTGTTCATGAGGGTCAGGCATCATTTGAAATCATGATCTTTTTTAACAACATTGAAGCTATGGATTAGCCTTGTATTCTATAATTGCTCGTGTAACGGTATTTATGCAAGACGCGGTGTGTTTTCAAGAATAAATAAGTCGGGACGGATATTTTACTTGTATATGAAATACACGAACGGTAGTCGGACCAAACTAAGACTAGCTACCCAACTCTACTATACTCTATAGGAATAGTTTAGGGGCTTATTTTGCCTATCTCTGTAATTGTACGGAGTTTATATCAGCAAGTGAATCTAAAGTTTTTTTTCAAAGTTCGGCTTTCACAACATCAAACAGTAGACAAAAGAAACTACATATTTAACGATTTAAATACCTGTTATGGCGTCGACGAAACTGCAGTAACTGTGATATAAAATCTTGTTGGTGTACGGCACTTGATCTCGACAGTGTTAATGAACTAATAATCCGCTTTGTAAGTCGTGTTGAAGTGGTGATGCTGCCGGCAGAACACTTGCCACGAGCAAGAACTTGATATTAGCTTGCCGATGCAACCTTAAATAAAAGAGTTGACAATATGATAATCTAACGAGTGTAGAATATATAATTATGTTTAATGATAGTCTGCGTCGCCGGCAGTGGTCCGTGCCAAGTTACCATGACAATTATAGCTAACGAATAATCGTTGTGCTTGCATTCATTCAAAGTTGCTGCGAAGTAAGTCCAGCAGCCGCCATACTCACAAAACACCGGAAATCTCACTTTGTGATGTTGTGGGCTTCGCAATGTCTGCGAACGTGTTTGAATCCGTACTGTTTGCACTTTCAATAGAAAAAATAGCGAGGGATTATGACATTACGACATAGTTGTCGTTCTTGTTTCGAAATACCTTTAATTTTAACTGTCGCTGTTTGTACACGACTTTTGGTAAACCGAGATACTTTCACAAATCAAATTGAAAATGATACTGAGAAGTATCATTGGAGAGAGAAAGGGACATCGTCATTATCCATGCAATATACATGCACAAATTCTGGAAACCGTTTTACATCCTTGAAATTGTTCGAAAAAACGCACAACTTTTTCAGAATGCAAGGCAAACTATGCAAAACATCCAAAATGATTACTTAAACAAACTGTTTGCATCGTGAAGAATGTCTGAAAAGAATGCAAATTTATGGAGATTGGTGGGGATATGTCTTGACCGGCGTTATTAGACTCAGAGTCTCAGACCGATACTGTTTTAAGTCGCCGACAGTCAGAGTTGCAAAAATGCTGCGGGTATGCGGGTACCACCCGCAAGGAAGGTTAAACTTGGAACACTCCACAAGGCAGGCTGAGGTTGGTAGGATGCTGATGTTGTGCTGGTACTGTAGTAGTTAATATATACTGACATACTAGCTGTAGCACAACATTTCCTAACAGTGCTGGCTGGTAATAGCAGCTTTTTGGGGAAAAGACGTTTCTATAGCAGTCGTAACATATACATATAACAGTAGTCGCCATTGCCAATCCGTACTGTTTAGCTGTATGTGAGTACAAATCATACAAATATTAGACCCTGTCTATTATTTCTATGGTACAACGGTGAAATGCAATCAACCCGCTGATAAATGCTAGCTAAAGACAAGTTTGGTGTAACTTTATGTTCCTGGTTAAATTTCCAGTTTAATAAATTTAACCCCAGTCCATACATCGATGCAGGTTCTCAATTCAGCTTGAGAGCCTGTTCGCAGGCTATAGTCCTGCTTAATTTAATCACGTGTTTTTGCAAGGCTGTTGGAAGCGGAGGGGGTCTGGGGTCTGGGAGGGCTTGAGCCTCCTCCCTCCCCCCAATAATTAGCCTTCTTAGCATACGTAGGCTACCCAATAATTTCCATTTGTATGAGCAAAGCAAACAAAAGAACTAAAAAAGTGCGAAAGCAATTCAGCCCCACCACCACCACCACCACCACCACCACCACCTCACCACCCCACCACCACCACCACCACCACCACCCACCACCACCGCCACCACCACCACCACCACCACCGCCACCACCACCACCACCGCCACCACCACCACAATATTGATTTACTTCAGACGGCCTTGTTTTATAGAGTGCATCAGATATACTGGCTACGTTCATGAATCATGTTCATGCATGCAACCATTGTTAGGCAGTGAGAACACTCTCCTTGCATTCTTCTCTACGGCAAAAATCGAACCCCAGTTGCTGCGACGTTAATAACACAATATGTATTTCAGTTTTACGTTTCAATCTGAATTACCTAATTGAAATTTCGTACCAAATTTCAAGGGTTAAAACTCAAAACGACGGTCTTATTTCGATTTCCAACCAACAACGGTCACTCAGACCATGGATAATAAAATAAATGGATTGGAAACTTCTGACGTCATTGACTGCATCCTTGTTGAAAAACGTGACGTCACGCGTATTGCGAATGTTACCAAAGTTCTCGGCATATTTGTTGTTTTGCTATATTTTCCACTTTAAAAGGGTGATCTTGAAGCGTAAACTGGTCTAATTGTTTTAAAAACATGCCTAAGCCACGACAAAGTATTCAAGGTAAATGTTTTTCGTCTTTGTTTTGTATTTTTTTACATTTGTAGCTACGAAATTGGCGTCACAAATTTTAACGAAATTTGCGATGTATTTTTCACTGTTTAGTGCTTGAAATATTTGCTAAAATTGACTGGGAATACTTAGAGTTTTCATCGTAGAATGGCGTGGTTACATTCATTTGCTCTTTGACTAAAATGTTTAGCTGTATTATTGCTAAACATGCCGTTTTTGAGAATTTGATTTTCAACTAGGTTGAGGCATCCAACCACGCCATCAATCCCAGTAAAAACATTAGGTCACGTCAGCTAGTTTCCTATCCATTTATTTTATTATCCATGCTCAGACTATCAGTGGCGGAAATCTTGGTGGGGGCGGGGGGGGGGGTTCGACCGCCGCCCCCACCTTCACGGAAAATTGCCGAATTTTCGGAAATTTTGACCTAAAAGAGGGCTAAAAACAGTCTTTTCAAGTGCAAATTGAGGGGGGGGGGAAGGGGGGGGGGACGTCGAAAATTTTAATTTTAAAGTTTTGTCGGAAATTTAGGAGGCTTTGCCCCCCCCCCCACACCGGAAAAAGTGAATTTCCGCCACTGCAGACTACTTATAAACGGACAAACAATGATAACCATCTGACTCTTCCAGTGTTCCACAACCCCTCACATTTTCTTCGAGCCGGATCGATTAAGCGGGTCTGCGGGTGCTTAATTTCTCATCATTCAACGCGCAATGTGGGACTGGGGACGAGTCAGGACCACTATCGCCGAACCGCCGAGCGAAATACATGGGAGTATGAATTTATTACAGTGTTAATCCTAACCATGTAAATGTAGTACAGTTTAAGACCCGATATAATTAAAAACTTTAGGAAAGTAATCATCTGTATAAAAGAATATATTAACTTCGAAAAATATATAGGTTGATGAATATGGGACCAAGCCCAAGGGACAGTAGAGGATGCGAAAGGTTATAGCGCATGCATGTGTTCTATCAGATCACGAGCAGAGCGACGACACCAGGCCGGGCCCTGTGTTTCTACAGTTTTGCACATAAGTCATAACTGGTTGAGACTACCTTTGTGAAAAATTTCATGTTAAATCATGTTGCGCTTTCAGTTGAATTAAACCCCTGCTCCCCAAACTTTAGTGTTGGCGAGCTTGTGTCACGGTGTGCTTGTGTGACATTTTTATCAAAACTTTAGTATAGGTAAATGAGTTTTCTAATATTTTTATGCTGATATTCAGGTTGCACGTATTTTAAATCATAATATATGATAAATATTATTTACTGCTGTTTTTGAGAACCAAATGCTGTTTTGTGCGACAAATCATTGTTTGTCGAAAGAATGAATAAATATGCAATGAATATGCAAAATGCAATGAATAATATAGAATAGTTGAATTCGGTTTTTGTGCGGATATCCCGAGTAATCATGATATCAGTCAAGTGTCAGTCGATAGCTGGACCTTGATATGATTGTGGATATCACAAAAACCTCATCCATTAGCTGTATGTTTTCCCGATCCTGAAACAACTCTACTCCCAAGATATATGTGTGACTGGAAACACTAATTATTGAATTCTGAAATTACTTTTTAAGATCACTTCCTGAGAATTTTCCAACATTGTTTTTCTCAGTAATCCTCTTGTTTGCTTCGGGATTATCAAATCACCTCTTTGGGAGTGTTCGTCCCATCCTTTTCCTGTTAGGTCTCAAGATGTTTGCCGAGGTTTTAACTCTCTAGGTACACATTTCATTGTGTACTTGTCAACTGGCACTTATATTACGCAGCAAAAGTGAAGAGGGTTACCAAATTTAGCTCAGTCGTTTTGAAGTGATCCACATACTGTAAGAGAGATTATAAGTTTGGAAGCTAGGCAGTGAACTCCATGTCTGATGTCGTGTCAAAGTTAATTAAGCAAACATCATGCAATATCTGTGCGGCAATTTACGCCTGTCTTAAACGTCGAATTTCCGTCCAATTTAATTCGTCGAATTTAAATTTTAATGCTTTTGAATTTTACTAGACGGAATTTGGAAGTCAGTTTCTATCAATTATGCAACGGTAGCCCCTCGATCAGCATAGTTATAGACAGTAGCACGATACGACCAAAATCTTACAGTCCATCTCATTACCTTACAGTCACACTGGCAACAGCCACTATAGAGAGGATATTACACGGCGGCGCGAAGATATGACTTTTATCTGAAATATTGTTTTTAACACGTGAAGATAAAGGTCATATCTTCAAGCCACCGTGTAATGTTCTGTTTATTATAATATAGTCCCAAGCAAAAAATTGTGAAATTTCACGCTCAAAAGCAAATTGGAAAAGTCACGTGATCGATATCCTCACTGGTGAAGAAGATATGGAAAATATGTCACTGTGTATTTTTCAGTATCTCACTCTCTACTATATAATAAATAGAGAATAATACATGGGTGCGCGGAAATACCAGATTTATTTCAAGTGTTGAACATGTTCAACACTTGAAATAAATCTGGTATTTCCGCGCACCCATGTATTTTTCTGTTTATTGTATAAACAAAATTCAGTGAAAAACAACAAAACGTCCGTGGCAATGCGTTTTACAACAAATGATATTTTCACACGTAAAAATATCATGTTCAACACGAGAAATAAATCTGGGATTTCCGCGCACTCACGTATTTTTCTGTTTATTATATAAACAAAATTCAGTGAAAAACAATAAAACGTCCGTGGCAATGCGTTTTACAACAAATGATATTTTCACACGTAAAAATATCGTATTTTCTACTGTTTAAATACGATTTTTCTCAGTGGCCAAAAACTCTATATAACACTTATGTTTACAGTCTTTATATAATAAATTATAAATATATATAGTATAGCTAGCTCAGTACAATAACTTGTGGTTAGAGCTCGGCAACTGGACTCTGTATAGCTCAATAGACATTTCCTATTATAGACTAATTTTAAAACCAGAGAAGGAGATGCAAATAAATCACCACAGCTAGAAAGAGCATACTATTAAAAATGCGAGTAAAATTGCAAAGTTTGGTTGCGAAATGTTGTAAAATGCGGGAAATATAGCCTTGCAAAATATTTTCCGCATTTTACAATATTTCGCAACCAAACTTTGCAATTTTACTAATTTAGTATCCTCTTTCTAACTGTGGTGATTTATTTGTATTTCCTTGCCTAGTTTTAAAATTAGTCTACAGTAAATGGGAATTGTCTATTGAGTATTGGCTAGAGCGCGGCTGCACTGGAATCGCGCGGCTGCAGTTTCGATTCCTGCCAGTGGGCCTAAAGTTGTATTTTTAATTTCAAAGCTGTTCCTGGTTCAATGTGCCGATGTCTTAATAAATGTATAAAATTTACACCCGCAATTTCCATTTACAAAATCCTTCAGTTCAAGAACTAGCTGTTTATAGTATATTGTGTCTTGTCATCTCGTTGACTCTCTTTGGAATTGCTTCATTGCAGTTCAGTAGATGTTCTTGTCAGTTGGTATAGACTATATTGTCTATATTCCTGTCCGTTCCTGTCTAGGCTATAATTTCACTATTCTGAAGGTTCTGCACACTACGTGGGAGTTGAGGAATGAGGGGGCATCCTAATACGTGGCGCACTTTTTTCTACTTGTCTATAAATACTTTTTTCTACTTGTCTATAAATTAATAAGTGCAGAAAGGTTTAAAACGTACGATTTGAATGTTATTTATGGAACAAGAATTAGTGCTCTATATGGCGCATTTCTTAGACGGCTAATTAACTGTGAAAATTTGATCGCTGTTCGTATATAGGCCTACGTAGTCGTAGGAAAAATATTGTATTATTAATGAAAAATATTACATTATTGTATCAAGACGCAATTTAGGTAGTTCTGATTCAACAGCCGAATTCATACCGCGCGATCTGTAATTTGAAAGAATGAAATACAAGAATGAATTTGGATCTGGTGACTTTATTCCAGAAATTTTCAAGCGGCGACTGAAGTCGAGACCACAGTTCAGATAAAACAGCGCTATCAAATTTCACAAACATATTTGTGAAGAAGGATAATTATTAAAAAGCAGCGCGCAGTTGCATAACCAAATAGATATTTCAAAATCATAATCCCAGCTTATAACGTATAAGCTTCTTTTCGCGAGCGCTTTGTACATGTAGATTGACGTTGAGGCCAAGGGCAAGAACAAACCGAAACTGCTGAAATTACTAAGCAAATACTGATCAATATTAACTAACTGCTGAAGTTCTGAAATGCATGCTTACCTTGCCAGAAAATTGAAATCGTTGTCGATGGTCTTTCAATGTAAAATATCGATCGTGATTACGTCTGTATCTAAAGAACTACTACAAATGACAAATAATGATAAGAAGGTTGTCTTGTATCCACACGTATTTTACTATTTTAAACTGCAATCGAAATTACAACTTGCCAACCTGATGATAGCAATATGCCAATGAAGTTACTCGTCTGAAATCTCAGTGCTTCTTCCGCACGGCGAAATAGACGAACTCTAACTTGTGTTTGGTTTGTCCTTCCTCTATAGACTGTGCTTGTCTCTGGCTCCAATCCAGTATGTAATGTACGCTGGCAACTCGATAGGACAAACAGCTCATTCAGCACTTTTTGTTCCTGTGCAAAGAAACAATCATCGGGATGAAGGGCTTGTTTTAATTAATTGTGACATTTAGCAACTTAACGTCACGTCGCCTATTACAGCTATTTGATAGGATTACAATGGATTTAATTAAACGTCTTTCGTGTGGGAATCTGCATGGCTAATATCTCGGCTAATATCAAGCGATTTTGCATTCACTTAGCGTCGCCTGGACAACTGCCAAACTAGATTTCAATACATATAATCTCTCTCGGAACACGCTCCAAAGCATGCCAACTTATTACAATACAATGTTTTCATAATTGTGCCGTAATTAAAATTAATAACAAAATGCTAAAGTTTGCTTTTACACCTTTCTTTAAAAGTGATTTCCGATGCAAAACAAATTACTTTCAGTCATTACCTACGATTGGGTACTCGGATAGAAGAAGAGACGGTTCTGAAATGTACTCGGTCATTTGCGACAGCAGATTCAAATCCAAAGCTGTCTTTATGCTGCCCATGCAGGAGGTGAAATTAATACTTCAACAATAGTTTTTCTACGTATAAATAAAATTATAGCCTGATTAAGGTCCCTTTTCATTTTTAAATTGCCGTCTGTGCCAGAGACTGTGGCTTTGTGCAGCTATTTTGGCAAGAGTACGGTCGGGTAAAATTAATTTACTGCATGCAGCGTAAATGGCTGTGGGCCAAAATCAGTGTAACACGTATTTTATGTCTCCTACACTGAAAAATCAGCTCAAACACTGCTGCTGAAATTGCTCTTCCAACGATGCCACAGTACTTCAAATCATCGCCATCGGAATCAAGGAAAACATAAACTCAAAATTTTCATGGTCGGCGGCATCCACCAGCTCGGCATGACCTCTCTATAGGATTTTGCATTCCAGGTTAGCTTATAAGGCTAGCTTGGTTAACTTAAAATTCAAAGCAAACCGTCCCAAGAGCTTGACGTTTATAAATTTGGAAATATTTCTTCAGAGATCTTGTCTGAAATCTGAATCAGTAGGAGCTTTCTTCTCTGAAGTTTTGAAATATTAAAACAGACGTGCAGAAATACATAAACTAAAACAGCAGATTAAATTTTAACCCAGCCGGTTAGTGTTAGCCCAGCTTTGAACAACCGGCCTCTGATCAGTAAAATTATCTATGGCTTAATCCCCCTCGCTACTGCTCAGTTCAGTGGCTGATTGTGGATGTATTGAATGATGCGGACTACAGGAGCCGGTTGTTCAAAGCTGGACTAGCGCCAAGTCTGGGTTAAAATTTAACCTGCAGCTGTTTTGGTTTGTGTATCAGTCTTCATGTCTGTTTATTTCAAAAATTTTAGAAAATAAAGCCGCTATTGATCCAGACAAGATTTCTAGATAAACATTTCCATGTTTATAAAATTGGGAAGATTGCTTTGAAGTTTTGAAGAATTTGTTTATAACCTGGGATTAAGATAACCGAAATTTGAATTGAACAAGTGTGACTATAGTTAACTTAACTGAAACATGACCAGCTCGACACATGACATACCGTCTTAACTGAGGGTCTAGATCGGAAGGGGGGGGGGGGTCTGAAAATTAGGAAACGGTAAACATTTTGGTACTTTAACGGTAAATCTTTGAATCTGCTGAAAAGTGTTCTGAAACGATAAACAGTATTTTTTTCCTCACGCTTCACGGTAAAATTTTCAGTGCCGTTTCACGACGTACTGACGTTCACCGAAATTGAGCCTGCTAGACTGGTTCCATTTTTTCCATGGAAAGTTGGTTTACCAAACGAATCAACTAGTGTTCTGCCATTTAAGATCCTTAAGTTACAGGTCTTACATAGCTCAATTAAACATTTTCCATGGTTGTTCACTGTGCTATCAAGAATCACGACTCACGATATACCCCATCAACACCCTCTTAACTGGAGGAGTACTGCAGCTTGGATGGACATCAAAAACAGCAGCTGCAGTCTGCAGACTAAGTAAGCTACTATAAGCTTAAGCCCACTTTATTTAAACTAGTGGATAGCTTATCAGTTCTGAATTGTTCACCCTAGTAGTTCAGGGAAGATTATCTCTTCATCGGTAGTGTTGCTACTGCAGGAGGAAGACGATCCGTGAAGGCCTGTGTCTTTGGCTGGGATTTTTTTTTTGGGGGGGGTACGGGTACACACCCCACAAGTGCCTTTTTTCCAAGTGGAGCAATGGAGAAAGTGCCCTTTTATAATGGTCTAATGTTCTTCAGTACGTATAGTGCCCTCCCCAAAATTTACGTTGCCCCTTACTGGCCACCGATATGCACATTGACAAAACAAACTTCGTGATCCCCTCCCCCCACTTCAAATGTTCGATGTTGTGATCAGAGCCGAAACAACATTTGCTAGCTTACTACGACACGGAATGGAGGTTTAAGAAGCGCACATGATCTTACATGCGAATTCTGCATAGACGGTATACGTTAATTAAATTAAGAAACTTCTAGAGTAAGGCGCGGTGTGGGCGCAGCGACCGCAAAACGAGAGTACGAAATATTTACATAAATTGCGCGCAAATAGTATGATGTATAAAGAGTATAATGTCAGGATACAGCAGGTTTCAGAACCGGAAGATGAAAAATATGACAAACCTCATTATAAGGCCCATTTCAGTCCACTCACGAAAATTTTCCATGGATAGAAATTTTTCCGAAAATATCATTGTTAAAAATTCAACTTTGTGTCGGCCATGCAATGACATTTTACAAAATTTTCCGTTTCTGCGGAAAATCTTCCTGGGTGGAAATGGGTCTTAATCTTAACACGTGACTAAGGGAAAGCGGAAATTTCGGTTGTAAAACATGACGTACGTGTATAAACTAAAATAATTTCTTATTAGTTTCGGAATATGAATATGAGTGCAAGAATGTTTTTAGATGTATGGAATGTATGTATTGTAGAATTGGTTAAGTTTGATTGATTGTAAACAGTTGTTTGAATACACGAAAATCAAAAACGAGATACAGTCCCAGCCGCGGGTAGCGAGCGGAAAATTCTTATAGTTTGGGGACGAGGATGAAACAGAGAGAAATGCATGGTCTCAACCAGTCTTTAGGCGAGTAGCCTCAACTCCAATCCTTAGCTTAAAACCGCAGGCTAAGACAGAGTACAACGAGGTTACGAGGCACTCTTTTAAGATGCGAATGAGGAGGCGAAACGGATAATTCCAGCTATAGATGATTTTATAGACGAAAGTTTGATCTAGAGAAGAAGAACGAAATCCATTACCACAGCTGGAAAGAACATCTTAAAATGAGTAAAATGGCAAAGTTTGGTTGTGAATTGTTGTAAAATGAGGAAAATATAACCCTGTGAAGATCGCAAATTGTGTACGTAGTAATAGTATATTTGCATTACGCGCGGGAACAATAACCATTTTTGAGCCGAATTGAAAGTGGCTATTTTACCGCGCGTAATACAAATATATACAAAATTTGCGAACTCCACAGGGCTATATATTTTCTTCATTTTACAACATTTATAGCAACCAATGTTTGCAGTTGATCCGGCATTCTATTAAAGACGCACTTTCTAGCTGGGGTGTTGGATTTCGTTCTTCTTGCCTTGATCAAGATTTGAGTTTAGGTTTCTGTCGAGGGTCGAGTGTCGAGGGTCAAATGTCGAGGGTGAGGGTAAAAAGTCGAGGGTGAGGGTAAAAAGTCGAGGGTGAGGGTAAAAAGTCGAGGGTCATAAAAAAAAGTTGAGGGTTGTATTTTTACGATAACTAAGACAACTACTAACGATAAAAGAGTTTTTAAAACAGTGTTTCTCCTTATGTAAATCATGAATTAAGGGAGAATTCTGGTCTAGAAACCAACTCATTAAGTTGATGATTTGGGTCGTCTGGTTAAAAAGTTTCACGCACGCAGCATGTCTTCTAGCGTGTAATGTCTCCAGGCCACTTTTGATTAAGGCATTTTTAGATAAAAAGGCGGAATTTTTTCATTAAAAGCAAAGTCAAAGAGCATTTATTATCAATATTAGCCAATGGCAATGTTCAACCTCGCATCAAGCAAAGGTCTCCGTCCCGCCGCAGGTGTGCTTGCGAGGTTGGTCAATGCCAATGTTTGGCCGTGAGACGAGTAATATTGGCTGAATCATTTAGCGTTAATTGGTTTCTAGTTGAAACATTAAACAAGTTATTTTGCCCGCAAATTTCGACCCTCGACTTTTTACCCTCACCCTCGACTTTTTACCCTCACCCTCGACTTTTTACCCTCACCCTCGACTTTTTACCCTCACCCTCGACTTTTTACCCTCACCCTCGACTTTTTAACCTCACCCTCGACTTTTTACCCTCACCCTCGACTTTTTAACCTCACCCTCGACTTTTTACCCTCACCCTCGACATTGGACCCTCGACACTCGACCCTCGACAAAAACCTAAACTCTCAAGATTTAGTCTATAGCTGGATTATTTTCAGATAATGTGGCATTGTGTAAGGATCAAATCCATAAGTGCATAACCGTTGTGCCAGCGGCAAGTCGTTTATAATAAGCACTGACTCAGTTTTTATGAATAATTATTTTTAATTACTGCGCCAAATGCAAAATAACAGGTGTTGTACTGTGTAAAATGCGATGACAAACGTTCATTAGCGTTGGCATTGCAAGGTGTCAATGGCATCAAAACAGTTGAAAGATTACGTCATCCGATGTCTGGCGCCTCAAATTTTATTTTCTAGCATCTATAGAAGCAAGAAAATATCACTTTCGATAACGTACGTGACAACAGTATCATCATGACATCATAACACATGAAAGCAGTTTTTTCTCGTATCGCGAAAGTCATTACTTGTAACCCTACACCTACCCCCCCCCCAAAAAAAACAACAAAAAAAACATCCAGAAAACACAAATTTGAATCAAACTGTTTTGACCGAATAGTTATATCTACCCTTATATCTGCAAAATAAAATAGAGCAGGATAGTCGACGTAGTTTAAACTGTAGAATCAGGACTGGTTGAAGAAAACTTTTTCACCTGTTTTATAAACACTTTAGGGTCTGAAATATTGGCCGCTGTGTGTGTTGCTTGTGTGAAGCACAGGCGGCCCAATCTCGCAAGGGTCAGTATAGACGAATAGTATAAATGTATATTATAGTATGTATATTATAGTAAAAATATGTCATAAAATATAAATTTTAAAATGAAATTGACTTGCCTATTTGAAAGTGTGTGTTTTCCTTGTATTCTTCCTTTGTTGTACTAATATTTTCCAAGACTTTGTACTCGATGTTACAGGGCCTTTTTTAACATACAAGCTGGGGGGGCATTTGCCCCCCCCCCAGTCCCCCCTTGTGCCCTCCCACGAAATCACATTTTGCCCCCCCAGGAAAAGTCCCTTTTTCCTAAAATTATACAAACAATCCAGCGAAGATTAACAAATAGATAAACGGAAAGTAAGTTTTAGGCTTTATCCTTTGTTCTTGTTTAACAAAATCGATTTAAATTGTTACTTTTTTTACCACTAAGCCATGATAAATTATTGTTAATATTTTTTTTTTATTTTTTGGATGCTCACAGGGGCGCACATTAGGGGGGGTGTGGGGGGGTGTGACACCCCCAATGTTTTGTGAAATATATCTAAAAAGTCGGTCCCGAAACTTGTATGGGACGAAAAAAAGTTGGTCCGGCTAAAATCTGAAAGACATCATTTTGTGTCGAAAAAAGAAATAGGTGGACATTTTGGAAATGGAATCTAACAAAATTAGGCGACTCTTTGTGGTTGTAACTTTTCTTCCAACCTCGTCCTAAAATACGTGAAATAGTGTTCTAATGAACCTAGAAATTCAAAATTTTTCTCGCGCCTTCGGCGCTCGCACTCGAAATCCATAAAAAATTTTGGCCCCCCGAAAGTTTAGAGCAGAAGTTCTGAAAAACTAAACGTTTATTTAAACTCTTGGAATTCTATCCCTGTCTATGAGTCCATCCGCAATTTTGGAGGCGTCTACGTTCTAATAAATCGAAGAGAGGTTACCGAGGTATGTGGCAGTGTATAGCATTTATACACATTTAGATAACCGATTACATCCGCATCGAGTGAACACGCAGCTTTTCGAGTTTGAAGCTTAAATTGATTAAGACTGCCATTCGTTCAGTCATGAAAGAAAAAAGTCTAAGGGATCTAATCACTCTTGGATATGAAAAGGATCTCACGGATACAATATAATGGACCCAGACACTGTTGTTGATCGTTGGGCCGAGCTGCCAAAACAGAGCGCCTTATTTGTGTGAAGTAATTCCGATTGTCATTTTTCGATCAAATAAGCTGTGCAGGTGAACTATTTAAAAACTGATTTGACTGCCTGAAATCTATTGCTAATTGCTATAACTTTCTAAGCAATTTGAGTTGTCAGATATTTAATACTCTTAGTTGAATATCATGTGGGCACGCACTATAGATTTATTTTGAACCATTATTGTCTATATTTGAGCTCTTGACTTTAATAATGTACTATTCTTTAATAATATACTGTGGGCTTGTGGCTAATATACTGGCTATAAATTCCATTTAGAACAACAGGTTAATTTCTAACGGTCTACTTTTTGACACCCCTGTATGCTATTTTTTACATAGTTACTCGACTTTGTGCAATAACCACAGGACCGTAGCATGTCATGCAGACCTTTATCATTTAATCTGTGACAAACTGCAAAGAATGAAGATATTACCATGGATAATAAAGTACATGTTATTTTACAATCCATGGTATTACCCACACTTTCCTGCAACTTATTCAACATATAATAGTTAATTAAATACGCCTTCGGCCATTTAGTACTACTAAATTGTAAATTTCGACATACTAAAACGCTTTTTTCTGACTATCAGAATTCTGTTAAATCTTCCCCAAACTCCAGGAAATGGCATTGCAGAGACTCTAAATTTAAAAATTTCCTCGGGCCTCGGCCATCGCTTTCAGCCCCCCCCCCCCAATCGAAAAGAGTTTCCTACGGCCCTGTACCATACGTCCAACTCTTAAATTTTATATTAATTGTATTTATAACAAGACTGTGACATTAATTAAACCGAACTTTCACCGGTTCACGAGTACTGTGCACACCTTAAAATAGTTGGCTTTTCTTATCAAACACAAATACTACAAAAGTCGGTCCCGGAAAATAGGACACTCCCCAAATTTTTTTGGAATGTGCGCCCCTGCTAATATTACTGATTGTTACTCTCATTGCTACGCAGCTGCTATGGCAATACTTTGTGCCATCAAATCTAGTTACAGCCTTGGACCACGTACAAACGGCACCTGGCTCCAAACACTAATATTAATTATCTGCCGTTAAACACGGTTACAATCGCCCAGACCAAATGGAAACCTGATTTTAGAGTTATATATGCTAATATATATTTTTGGTCGACGTTAATATCTTGTCCGCGCCTCGCGGTGAATTGAAACAATTCAGGCGGTAAATCTAACCTCCCCCCCCCAAAGGCAAAGTCCTCGCAACGGCCCTGGCACAGCCCTGGTCACGCATTCTTATCTTCCGAACTTGGCAGGTCTGGTATCCCCATTTGTCGAGTAAAAATGAAAATGGGGGGGGGGGAGTCAAAGAAAAATATTCTAATATGTAAGGGGGGTCATCATTAAATTTCTGCTCTTTTAAGGGGGGCTTTCAATTTTAAAAATTTAGGAAAGAAAAAATTCCCCTCCCCCCTTCCATAAATAATGACCGGTCCCTTAGTTATATCAAAATCAGGTTCAAGAACAATATATTTCTTTTTGCTTCTCTAAAAAGTCTTTCCGGCTTATTGGTATATAGATTGAAACTATAAAGTATCGCCTCATACTTGATTCGTTAATTTCATGGCTGAAAATCATGCACGGACATAAATATTATTCTACTTCCTTCTCGCTTTAAAATAATGCTCCAACAGTAAATATTACTACATATACACTGAACACTCTGTACAACGCTGTACTGACAATGTTGTAAATATAATTTACCTGTAAATAACTCAAAACATTTGTTATATCTTTTAAATTTATATATTTCTGTAAATAACTTAGCCTTAGCTTATCATAATCATATTTTGCATGTAAAATAATTTTATGGCCCACGCCCCCCCCCCCCCCCCGTGGAAATCAGCTACGGTTGACGGGGTCAGCGTGGATAAATAAAGTTCTGCTGCTACTACTACTGTTTCGTCCCAGTCTTTTGCGCGTTTTTCAGATTTTTCACAAGGCCAAATTCAATGTTTAAACGGCAATAAATTTTACACTTCGATTCTGTTTTCGAATTTCCGTATATTTTGTATCGTAGATTTCGAAAATATAAACTCTCATTTTGTGACAGGGACACTTTAATAAATCAACTGATTTGCATTACTAACAACGAGTGTCTCATATTACATCACAACACTTTTCGCGCGGATTATATTTCGCACAGTACTTAAATTCAAGCACCTAGCGCCGCGCGAATTCTAGTACTGTGCGAATTTTAATACAAGTAAGGTATATGAAATTGTTATTAAACTCTACATGTCCAATGATTCATTCATGTATTATCATTGTTGATATATATCACATTGTGGCAATTGGTCATGCTATGCTAATAAACCTGCATCTATTTGAATAATGCAAATCATTAAAATTAAATCATTAAAAGTTGCTATGGCTAGCTTCATCACTGACAGTATTATAATTATACATACAAAAGCAAGAAGTTATAAGCATTGAAGGTATTTATATAAAACCCGCTATGCTAAGAAAGTAGAATTAGAATACTTAGCCGACCTTCGACTTTGGCAAGGTGTTTGATATTCAAATTTGATATTCCTGAAAAGGCCTATTAGCAATCTCGTAAGTATGCCCGTTCGCAAGTTAGGTCATGCCCGGCACCAAACCTGCGAACGGGAATACTCTGAGCTGTTTACGTGATGGAAGGTGGGATGATTTTGATGTATTTAATAAGTCACTAGGCTAAACGAAAGTTCAAATGCTGGTTAACCGAACTCAAATGTTGTAGAGAAGATCGTGTAGTTTTTTAAGAAGACTTTTTAAGCTTTCTGAACAACCTTTCGTTTACAGTTAACTATAATCCATCTCTAGAAAATAAAGTTTTTTGCTGAATCATGCATCGTGACTTATTTCAGTACATCTTAATCATCCCGCCTAGCTCATATCTCATCCTGGCAAAGCGGGATCATATAAACAGCCCCTTATTCAGCAAATTGCGCATGCTGCCTCTGATCCCTTGCATTGGGGGTGAGGCAGCACTTTCCTTGCGATAATAACTTATAGTCAAATAACTGTTAATAAGGTGGGGGTCTACCTAAACCACTCGAAAAAATCGATTTTCATTTTTTGAGCTAAATAGTTAGTGTGACATGTAATTGATGTTGTGAAAGTATTTATTTGGTTGAATTAAAAAAATTGTTCTCTCAGGAGCTGTTTTAAACAATCTCACTATAATTTTTAGCTTGGTTGCCATGGTAACGAAAGGCAGCATCCTTCATATTTTTCATGTTTTTGCTAATATACTGTTGCTCCTACCCTCCCTAATATAAAATAATAATGCAGGCTCATCTCTAGATGATTTTGCAGCGGATCTACATGAAGATTATGCGCGTGTATGCGTTTTTTCGAGAACTACTGATTCAAACAGAGCAAATTGAAAAATGTGTTTCAATATTTCGTAAATATTGATTACTTTTGTGTATATATTTCTTAACATTTGGTTAAAAATAACGGACAATGGTACACAGAAAACATTAAATGAAACATTATTCACTGGGGTAAAGAAATGCGCGATAAAGACGACGATAAAACGTGAACACATTCATGCATTCAATACCAATGTCAACAGTCATCTTCGAATCGTATTTGGATATTTGGCATCTTATAAACAGATATTCAAACGTTTGTTCTGATGCACTTAGTAGCTGTGTATGGTGAACTGTGGATGTAAGTATTTTTCTATCACTGAATGATTGATTCTACTATATTACTATAAGTCGAAATGTTGCAGTATTAAAGGGGCAAATCATTCTTAATACAATGTAATTAGTAATTATTGCAAAATTGCAAATTTACAACATTATATCAAAAGATCAATTTCCTCTACCCAATTTTAGTACAGATATCAATACATTATTTCTTGCTTCATTGTTATAATTTTATTATTTTAATGCTTCTTGGTATTAATATTAATGAGGTTGTCTTTGTGCTGCATTTTAGGGACTGTAATCACATGTCAAGGCCTACCAAGTTTGAGAGCTTATTTTGGGCCGAATATGTTTACCGAATGTACCACTTGGAGCAATAGGACAAGAATACAGTTACAGATAATTTTATTTTACCATTGAATCATGTAATTTGGTATTGACAATTGATTGTATACAAAAAACTGTGGTATTAAAATGTTGGTCTGCATGCCCCTTTGGTAAGCACAATGAGTGCCATCACTGCCGTGTGCATCTTTAAACATCCTTGTTAGCAGCAAGTGGGTTCAGCAAAGAAAATGATGGAAAATTTAGCTATACAAATTGAGAACTGGATTGGGATGTCCTGTTAACACTCAGGAACATCTTTTAAACCAACCATCAAACTGCGGGAAAACCAAATGGTGATGCAAGACATAACAGCATTTGGACGGAATGGTAGAAAAATCAAAATTTAAAAGGATTCTTATTATAAACAAGTAAATCTTGAAAAAGAAATGACTTCACATGACAATTGATGATGAGGGATGCCCAGCACAATTTTAATTGTCTAAAATATCGAGTATAGTGTATATCTTAACAGTTGGTAGTTCATATTTGATAACTTATACTTTATAGACGTTTTCCCGAAATGTGGTATTTTTCATCTTTGAAAAAAGATAATTCTTTACCAATTTGACCAAACTGGCTAAAATTTTCAGTGTTAATAGAGCTCATCATGATAAGTGTTTTCAACGATAGAATTTGGCATATGTTGTAATGCTGCCATTTTATCGAGGAAATATGCCAGGATTTTTGGAAGAAAATCGAACTACAATTTTGCAGCAATGTTGTGCAAAAACTACATGCAGCATAAAAAATTCCATCGCTGAAAACAATCTACTTGCTTTGTAGTCAACAAATAGCTCTTAGTGGTAAAATTTCATTAAAATGGTAAGGCTGTATTTTTCCCAACTAACAGTGATTTGTATGAGACATACACTGTGTTTAATTACTAGATGGCAGGATAAATATTAAAGGTATCAGAAAAACCTTTAGAATTAGATTTAGAATCTATGTTATATACGCTTTCTAATGATATATAGTTTTGTATAGCTATCTAAAAAACTTGGCGAGTAATAGGCTTGCAAGTGTGGTGAACTGGAATATCGCAAGTTTAGGTAGACCCCACCTTATTAATTAAATTAAATTAAATTAAATATCCAGGCTCTGATATCCATCCATCGTACAACCAACCCGATTCATAATTACTCGTACATGTAAACGCAATAAAAGAAACATCTCAAGTGTGTCCAGTTAGAGTACTGTTTTAAATAATGAAGAGCATATTTTTACAATAGCTGTGAATCACTTTTCTACATAACTTTTCATGTGTTTGTAGGTTTGCTGACGTCAGTATTTTACTTGGGAACTTTTTTGGTGATTGGACATCTACAGGGTGCCCCCCCCCAACCCCCACCCCAAAAAAGTATACCTTTGGAAATTTTCCTATTGTAATAATTTGAATGTCTGAGCATTATGTTGAACCCATGGAAGCGTAAAATACAGGGTGTATTGAAAAACGAGACCTGAATAACTCTATTTTTGTTAAAGTACCTATGACACGAAATTTTACCCCAAATGTTTATGATTGCATTGTAAAGATCACTTAAAATGACTTAATAATTTCTTTTATAGAATTTTGGTAACTTGCTTCCTTTACAAACAAATACAGAGGGTTAATTACCAGTTATGAAATTAATACATATACAAGGGCAATTTTTAAGTTTTTTAGATACGTATTCGTCAAGAAACTATACTTTTCTGAAAACTCATTATGCGATGTGATGTCACACCGGTGGTGATATTTGCATATGAAACAAAGTTGAATATCTTGAAAAGGGAGCAAGTTACCAAAATTCTATAAAAGCAATTATTAAGTCATTTTAAGTGATCTTTACAATGCAACCATAAACCTTTGGGGTGAAATTTCGTGTCATAGGCACTTTAAGTACAATATTTTCTACTCCTGGGAATTTAATGAAAATAACTTCTAATCGTATAAAGGAGCATAACTGCATAAAAAATTGTCAAATTACTGATCATGATTAGAAATATCACTCCTATTCTGTTTACGCACCCGTAAGTTCAGCATAGTAATAAGACATTCAAATTCCAACAAAGGTTTGATTTCAAAAGGTATGCTTTTAGGGGGGGGGGTGCGAGATAAACAAGAATGCTTATAAACTTTCCTATAGACTATAGACTATGATATAGAATGCTTATAGACTAATCCTTTAACTAGAGACCGGAAGAAATATATCAAAATGCATTGTCTGAAATTGCAGGAAATCAAGCCCCATAGGCTTAAAATACGAAAATGTTATGGACCAAGGTTGTCTCCTAGGAAGAAAAAAAACCCCTACAATTTCGAAATATTTTAGTTCACCGCCTAGGTCTCACAGTTAAGTTGTACAGTTCGGTCCCACAGTTAAGTCCACTTCCTTATTCTTACATTTAGGTCCCTTTTCCTTGATCCTGCCACCCACAGACGAATCCTTAACAGAGGCACTGGACTCAATCCATTTGTCATCTTTTTCCAAGTTCTTATATTCAATACCCAACCATATAAGTCCAAATAACCAGCAGATGGTGAGACAAAGACAGGTGTACATCATTGGCATTCTGTGAAATGTAGCACCAGCCAATATACGACTGAGCATAATGCTGGTATGAGCTATGGTAAATGTAAGACTTTGATAAAATGAGGCACCCTCAGCTGGTGTTAGTTTTGATAACAATGAAGAGATCAGAGCAAAATTTACGAACTGGGCACCAATAAATAACAGTGAAACAAGCAAAAGATAAGCTGCATTGACTGGCATATCATTGTCCCAGAACAGAGCAAAATAAAATATTGTAAAAATCGGGACTATCGACGAAACAGCACCGAAGACAATACAATTCTTTTCGGAAATTCTTTCCACCAAAAGGTAAGTAGCGAGGAAAAAAACGAAGGCAAATAGTGAACTATTGAGGTAAAGTAATTTCACGTGACTTAGTCCCAATCCTAGATGGTACTTTGCCAATAGCGGAATATAAGTGGAAGAGATGGTAGTTAGAATAACCATTAAGAAAATAAGGTAATATAAACAAAGGACAACCGATTGTGGACAGCCAATCATAGTGCCTCCAGATTTAGATTCATAACTTTCACTATCACTATTAATATGGTTTTCGGCTTCATAACTTTCCGCGAGATCACTTGGTAGGAACATCGTCAGAATAAGCAATAATAACCAAACGATTGCCAAAACTACCCCCGGTGAATTCCCTGCGTTAACTTCCCAACCTAATAAAAGTAAATCACAAAGTTATGTGTAACTAATATGTAGAGGCATTCCTAATTCGTTCCGCTCGAGGGAGGTACCTTTTTGGCAATCACCTCCGCTCGAAAACCCTTAAAAATGCCCTGCATAGCTATATACGTAATGGGGAACTCTAAAAACAAATAGACAACCGGATATTTTAAGTATTTTAAAACTAGTAGATTGGAGAGCGACAAAATTAGAGCGAAATGTTAAGAAACAACTTATTACAACTTATATTATAATCCCGTCATCCACCGCATACGAGTTATTCTCCACCGCATACGAGTTATTCTGCATTCTGATTGCATGGTCGAACGACTGGTCATATTTTGGCTCATATACGGCAACAGGGACGTAGGCAAGACTTTGCCTTTGGGGGGAGGGGGGAGGTTACATTTACCTCAATTTTTCCACTCAACGTTTTTACCTGATTTTACAAAGATCGTCGGAAATGGCATTTTTTGAGTCTTTCCTACCCAACAGTTCAATATTTAGTATTACTTACAGTTTAATGTGATTAGGAAAATTGATAACATTTTGGAAATTTGGAGACTTCAGACCGTAAGAATGGGTATTTGGCCATGCCCCCCTGCCACGACACGTCTCGAAATCTTTAGTTTGTTTGATCGTCAAAATCTACAAGAAGTCTACCTGAAAATGCTTACAATGAGCACTTATTATGGATGTGTGCCCCCCCCCCTCCCCCACATACACACACGTCGCTACGGGCCTGTATGGCGAGTTCTGAGAGTACGGAAAACCAAATTCCGAGAGTACAAAAGGTACAAAAGCTTTCCGAAACAGAAAAAAGGAAAATATTGGCCTTGAGAAAGATAAAAGTACAAGAAAAAACCCTCAAGTAGATAATAATTATAGTAGAAATATAGTATAACAGTAATATTATACCGTAGTAGAGCAAGAGTTAATTAAAAATTAATTATTGCTACTCAAGTTTCACGCCTTATTCAAGACGATCTTCAGGCAATTAATTCAGTTAGTGTTTGATTCGTCAACAATATTTAGTATTACTTACAGTTTAATGTGATTGGGAAAATTGAGAACATTTTTGAAATTTGGAGACTTCAGACCGTCAGAATGGGTATTTGGGCATGCCCCTCCTGCCACGATACGTCTCAAAATTTCAAGCTGGGGAGCACTGCTATTTTAAATTGTGTCCTAGAATTTTTCTCAATCATAAATTCTGTGTTAAGTTTGATGCTTAAATTGTATTATTTTCATACGATAGATAATAGAGGACAGGTTTTCTTTCTGCAATCATAATTGCTCAAACGAGTTTGCAATTGTTTGCCGTCGCTGTCGCGTTCCCTTCCTACATGCTTAATTAATGTTAAATCGGCACGATTTAAACCAATCAGAATCGAGTGAATTGACTATAATGATATTAATTAATGGTATTATTCGCCGACGGCGAGGTGATTATTCGGGAAGATTCGCCGAGACGAAGTCGAGGTGAATATTCCCCGATAATCACCGAGCCTGAGGCGAATAATTGTTTTAGTATTTTTACACATGCAAGTCTTTTGTGTTTTTTGGGACTGAATTTACTTTAATTTCGCTTATTTCTTTATCAGTAACTTCCACAAAACGGCTATTTTGAAAATTTCGGTTTTGTTATATTCACCTGTAGGTGAATACACTTACAGCTTAATACGTAAAATTTGACCAATCAACTTGTAGGATTTGTTATATTCACTTGTGCAAAAATACTAATCATTGTTATTATGTGGCAAGCATAACTTCCGGTGAAATGGTGGACTGTGATTTTCTGAGAAGCACTTTTAGCGATCCATTATTTCCCCATAATGGACCGGCGATCCGTTACGTAAAAACAAACGAATGCATTTTAAAACAAAACAGCAAAACTAATTGAAACTTATAATTTAATTTGTTATTAATAAGATATCTGGGAATGGTTTTTAGTGGAAAAGAAGGAATACATTGGTATTTTTTGTTTTCTTCGACCAAATATGTATCACGCTACAAATATGCATTTCAAATAATGCATTTCTTGTTTGTTTCAAGTATAAACGCCTATAAATGCCACATAATAAACTTTTTATTAACCTCGCTTGCTCGGTATGTACAGAGAAATATCGGACCTTGGTCTTTTTGTACAAACCTCCCCCTACGGGCTCGGTCAGTACGAAAAAAACCTCGGTCCGATATTTCTCTGTACAGACCTGGCGTTCGGTTAATAAGAAGTTAATAATTTACAGGTAGCCAACAAGGAAATTTAATGTTCATGTACGTGTGACATTGATTTGTTAATACCTAACCGGACCGGTACTGGAGATATAGTTAAAAATAGGGTTATTTTTTTGCACTCATAAAAAAGTAAGCAAATCTCTCCTGTTTTTAAACATATGCAAATAAAACCATCTCTCTAGCCAGTTTCTTTATTATTTATTGAAAATAATTCAAGAGTCTTGATTGGCTAAGTCTAAGAGCTGTAGGTGAAATCGCCATATCCGCTCGGTAGCACGTTATGACGTCACGCTAATTTATGCGGTATATGCCAAAAGCGGGAAAATACAAATGGCTTCCTCAAAGGAAAGGCTCGCCTTGTGAAAGCTGAAATTAAAAAATTGCTCGAAGAAAAAGACTAAAAAATCCAGTGATCTTCGAAGAGTATCTGTGAGAAAAGAAGTTTGGCCATCATAATATATTATTGTTGTTCCATTTTCAGCAGCTTCGCGTCTTCGTGAGTCCGAAATATTTACAAATAAATAATAAAACATTATTGAATTCGATTCTCGCAGGATATGAGGAATTATTAAGGCCTCGGTTGTGATCTCTTCCTCAGCCTTCGGCTTCGAAAGCCTCATATCCTACTCAAACTCATGCAATACTTGTTTAACATACTCACCTAATACATTGAATTTGAATACGAGAAGACTTCCAATGGTTGGACCACATACTTCGCCAATACAGTAGAGACCTTCGAAATATAGAAATGCTTTTGCACGATTTTCGTTGGTAGTACACTTTGTCACGGCTCCATAGAGCACTCCAACTGTTCCTTCACCTATACCACTTATAAATCTCCCAAACAAAGGAAAATATCCATTGACGGGTATCGAGTACAGAAGATTACCAAATAACTTCACTAAACCACACATAACAACGATGGTCTTTGATGCTTGAAATTTAACTTCCAGAAATCCGATAAATGGTGCAAAAACCAACGTCCCTGCTGAATAAGCAGCTAGGGTGAAACCAAGAAATGTATTTGTCTCTCCAAGATTCTTCATGTAATACCAAGCAGTTGGTAGGATTAGAAATTCTTCCACACCATCCAGTAGGAGACGAAAAGATAAATAGATGAAAACTAGTCTGTTCATCGAGGTAAAATTTATCTGAAACCGGTCTGTGAGTGGTCTATTAAATATAAGATACGAATGAATAATGTTGAGAATATTGACAATAAGCAATTTATTTTACATTATTTTATATACTGTAAATTTCTAAGAGTTCAACTCCAAAAGTGTTATCATGTCCCCAAAACGGTGAAAGAATAACATTTCTGCAGGGCTTCAAAAACGGCCGGTCACCGATCAATGACCGCCGATCGATTCAGTTAGGACATTGACCTTAGTTTATTCGGAGTTACCGTTGTATTGTATTGACCGCCGCTTTTTTGTTTTCTGTGATAACTTTGATAGAGTAAAATCAGTAAATACTTGAGCAGCAGTGATTTTTCTGGCAGAATTTTAATTGATTTGGGGCTACTGTCCTTTCTTGGTGGAATAAAAAAGGACTAGGATAATTCATATCAGGCCTTTGAATCGACGGAATATTTGGGATATCACAATATGTGAAAAGTCACATTGGTCTCCTTTCAAGCAAAAGCTAGCCTCGCCGTTGTAGAAAGGGGCAACGTATTCTGTATTTAGGCACGTTATCCGATGGCTCATTTGGATGCAGATGTTGTGGGTGCTTAAAATCACAGTTTTGTTTCTTAATGCGCAGGTCCCGCCGTGAGAGAAAGGGCAAGGAATAGTGCTTTTAGGAATTTGATTAGCATTGTTCTTTCTTATAGAGGGCTGCTGTGTTTGCAATCTTGAATTAGGTATTATGTTTCTATGCACATTAATAGTTCCTTTCTGTGTACTCGGGCGTGCATCTTTGGTGTGTGCTAATTGCTACAACTGCAGTGGCGTTTGTATTCAAAGTAGCATGTTGATTTTTATCACTGGACGAAGGGATTTCAATAACAGTTGAGCTTGACGGATTCATTTTCAAATTAGTAGGTAACTTGTTGGTAAAAGTATAAGGGAATCATCTGTTATTAATAAGGTCGTCGTACCCCTTTCAACCCTTTTTTCAATTTTAATATACAATATTAATGGAAAATATCATTTTTTGAAAGGGCGAGGTGAAGGAAAATGACCAATGCAAAAAATCTTCACAAATTATCCAATATAGCGGCCGTTAGTTAGCCTACAATTGCTTAGTGTCGTAAATGTCATAACTCAAGAACCAATTATCAAAATCTAATCAATGATATATTTTTAGAAAGCTTAGAGCCTAAACTAGTGCCAGACGCTCTGTATGTTTAATTTTTCAAGTACTTTATGATGCAATTTGTGAAATTCATCATTGATGAAAAATATTGAAATTTGAAGAGTGTCAGGCACTAGATCATGTTATATGCCAAATATGCCAAATATCAATCTTCTACATTAAATAATTACAAACTTACGGTGTCACAAAAATCGCCGACACATGTCAAACTGGAAAAAACGTTTTGTTTACTGCTAATGTGCCTCTTAAAGCTTCAGAAGCCTCCTGCTCTTCATACACAATATCTAACTTCTCTTGAGCCTCATCTATATACTTTTTTTCTCAGATGCCCTATTGGTTTTCGTCTATTTTTAATTGTTTCTCTATTTTGTTGGCGAAAATATAATTTGTGATTCATCATATACTGTTGGCACGTCCAGCATGGTTAATCTTACAGTGGTGACTAGTTTTCCTTTCCAACATTTATCTGAGCTAGTATTTCAACATTCAGGCATTTCTTGGTATCTAATGAGATGGCAGAAACAACACCATTGTGCGACAGATGGCCTCCTCTTTGCCAAGCTCCATCAAGGGAAATTCCACATTTCTCCTTTGCCATTTCTACAAGCCTCTTTACCAATCATGGCATTGTTTAGCATGCTGTCATTTGCCAACTGTTTCACAACAGGCAGCAGCTTTTTGTTTAGCATTTTTGTAAAGTTCCGGCGGGTTTGTGGTGATGCCCTGAGGGCATGTTCATGAATTTGGTGAATGTTACCATAGTATTATGGCCTCGACAAATTTCTCTGAATGTCAGGAGGCCAATGACTGCTCTCGCATTAACTTCATATGATGGCCTTGTTTGTGAAGTATGGAAGCACTCCATGCTATCACATTGCAGGACAATGTAATGGGAGAAGCTTTCTTCTTTTTATGTCAACATGGGAAGTGATGTTGTTCCCACACTCAACATGACTTCCCATGCACAATTTTGAAAAACGTGCAAAAATACTTGAGTGCGGGAACGAGCCTAAAGCCTGTTTTCCACTTCAACGGTATCGTAACGTATCGTAGCATTTTCTTTTGTATGGAAGTAATTAGTTCCACTCTAGTGCTGAAGAGTAATTAGTTCCATTCTAGTATAGTGTAAGCTGATTTAGGAGTATCAGATTAAAGATTAAAGTGCTCACGAAACAAAGAAATACACTACGCTACGGTACGGTTCAAGTGGAAAACTGATTTTAACCTAAACAAAATCCGGTCCGGAAGGCGAAGAACCAAACTATCTGTGGATAATATTGATACAGTTAGAGATCTTTTTTAAGAAAATCCACCCGCGGAAGAGTGGAGCCTGGAAAATGTGACCTACAACTTACAGCCGGACCGGAAGACGGAACTAATCGTTACATGACTGTCTCAAAAAAGACTCCAAAGAACGAAACTTGTATACACGGCGGAAGGGAGATAAGGATGGTAGAAGAAGTGTCCAGTGCGTGCTTCGTAAGTCAGACCACCGGAGTGACAAATGTAAATCATGTGTTACTACGGAGAAACGGAAGACGTTCTTTGTTGAGAATAAGTTGTGTTTCAACTGCGCCTCAACTGGACATAGAGGCAATGAAGTCTCGTAGTCGTGGGTGCTTTCACTGTGGTGCGAAACACCATACAATTAGTCTGTGCACCCAAGATAAGAGTGGTTCCCAAGATAAAAATGAGGAACAGGGTCCAGTGTTAACCAGATTTACTCCAGCAATAGACAAGCCGACTCTTCCAGCAGTAATACCAGTTAAATATCTGGGCATCTTTAGATACTGGTTTTAGAAGGAACTTTATTTTGAGGCTGCCAAGAAACTCAACCTGCGACCTGCGCGCCTTAAGACAAAAAAGATTATTACACTCAAAAATTCGACCAAGCAATTAATGCCCATTTTAGAAATTATGATTGAGTCGTTGATGGCAATACCCGGGAGGAGATCGAGCTGACGGGGTCCAAGTTAAATGGGTTTTATATGAATCCAGAAGAGAAGTATCCCATCCACACAATCCTTCGTATTGGTGACAAGACCGATTGTAAGATTCGAACAGAGGAACTCTTCAAAGGTAACCTGGGAGATCCCATAATGGAAGGATCTACATTTGGCTATGTCCTTCATGGCGGTAATCATTCGAGTAAACAGTGCATGTTTACAAGTGATACGAGCGATTACGAGAGATTATACAATCTGGACGTCCTGGGGTCGAAGACCGAAGCGAGGATGACCAGTTAAATGTTTATCAAGATTTTCAGGAGAACATAACCAAGACAAGAGAGGGGAGATACGAAGTCGAGGTACCATGGATACCAGGAACTATCTTGCGAAATAATAACCTGGAGCCAAGCAGAAAGCGACTCAACAACGTTTGGAAGGAAATCAACCAAGACGAAGATCTGAGAAAAGATTACGAAGAAATAGTCATGAACCAACTAAATTACGGCATCGTAGAAATAGCACTAGTGCAACCTACGCGAGAACGCTTAATTTACATGCCCCACAAGCCGGTGATGAAAGAAAATGCTACGACTACAAAAGTAAGGATGATATTTGATGCCAGTATGAAGCCACATCCGATGGCAAACCGTGTCGATGAGTGCATGTTCACTGGTCCAACTCTTCAACCACTCCTGTTGGCGGATATCATGGTCAGAGCAAGGTTGCCTCCAACATCGTTTTGATAGATATTCAGAAGGGATTTCTGCAAGTTGGTATTAAGGAGAAAGACCGGGATGCCTTTAGATTTCTGTTTAACATCAATGGTAAAGAGGAACATCTTCGATTCACAAGAGTACCATTTTGGATGGAGGCAAACTTATTCATGTTGGGAGCAACGATGCAATACCATCTAGATCGACAGCCAGCTGAGTATGAGACAGCCGTTGGAGCGTTAAGAGAAAACACATATGTTGACAATATGATGAAGACGGGGAGTGATATGTTGGAGCTGGAGAAGTTTAAGCAAGAAGGGACTGAAATCTTGGTCTTGGACAGTGGAATGTTTCCCATGCACAAGTAGGAGTCCAACGTGAAATTATTGGAAAGCAAAGGAATGCCAAATCTCTCAAAGATTCTGGGTCAGACCTGGGACAAAAGAGATTTACAGATTTATTGAAAAAACAAGCTTACAATTGACATATTACATTAAATTTACATAAATAGTTATATATATAATAAAGAGAAAGTGAATTTTTATAGAAAGCGAGTCTTGTGCAGTGTCCAAAGTAGCTGGAAGCTTTCGAGTTGGGCACTGCCTACAGTTTGTAATGAATTCAAAAAAAATTATGTAAATGTCACAGACCATGTGTCATCCTGGCTTTAGAAAGAGAGATTTTGTAATACTATTGTGAAATTAATAAGATTTGACTATATTTCTTCTTAAATTGAAGTATCGAGTATGGCTCTTTAAGACTAGTTTCTATACTTTCCCAAATTTTTGATGAAGTGAATGCGAACGTTTGAATTCCATAATTAGTTCTTACCTTTGGTCTAATAATATTATAGTTACTAACAAATCTGGTATAGTGTGAATGACGGAATGATGCGGCAACAATGATATCAGAGAGTATTGTAGGTACTTTTTCATTCATATTAATAATTTTAAAGGTGAAAACAGCTATTTTTAGTTTAAAAACATTATCAATTTTAAGTATACCCAGTAGGTCATAGTATGCTGAGGCATCTTCATAATTCCCTATAAAAAATATTTTCCTGATACATTTATTTTGGCACGATTTTAACTTTTTTAATTTTGTAGCATACGTATTACCCCAACTCATTAACCCATAATTAATATACGGAAAAATTAAACTATAGTAAACCTGCTTTAGCATATTCAGATCAATACAGTACCTAAGTTTACTAATTATTCCCGTGTTTTTTTACTATCTTATTGTAAATGAATGGGAGTAACCGGCCTTTTTTTGAGTAAAATGTGTTAAGAGGTAAAATGTCAGCCATATTGAAACGTCATTGTTACCATAGCAACGGTTATGACGTCATTTTTGTGAACAATTTTCAACTCTTAGAAGATTGCTCAATATATGTGAATAGAAACTAATCAGAAACCTCTCTTCAAAAAATTAAATCTAAATCACAATTTTGTCATATTTTAAAAACTGTAGGGAGCCACCTTAAGTTTAGATTTAATAAAAATATAAGGAACATTCATATTTTAGGGGAGGGTGAGACAGAGTTTCACAAACCTCCCTTATTCTTAGATTGAGCAACCTCCGGTTGAGGGTCACGGGATAGTGCAACTAGAGAAAAACAACGTGACTGTGAAATGTTAGTTTATGACGTTTATTTTAATAATATATCAAAATACATACGAGTTTAGTGAAGGTCTTTTATTCGAAAACAAAGATCAGCTTAATCAGAATTTGTTTTCCTCCAACTCGAATTTTAACAACTAGTATTGGGAGGGATTGTTTCGTGTGCAGGAAAGTGCCCCAGTTCACCGTCTCGTGCAAGTAAGGGACAGCCTGAAAGAAGTGTTCGGGAATAATTGCGTTGTAGGATTAGGTCATGATGTTGAATGGCCACCTCGGTCACTAGACTTGACTCCATGCGACTTTTTTATGTGGGAATATCTGAAGGATAAAGTGTTTTCGACTCCCCCTCGAAATATGGAGAATTTACGGCAGAAAATAATCGAACAATTTATTAATGCCTTACGTGAGCAGCCTGCAATCACCAGAAAAGCAGTGCGCGATATGCACAAGCGCGCGGTAGTTTGTGTTGAGAGGAATGGAGGCCACGTTGAAGGACACCGCGGTGCTTGACATCCTACATTACTTTTGATGAACAATTATGACACTCGTATTAAGGCTCACACGCTGCGTTAAATTAATGAACAAATATTAATTAATATTTTTTTAACATGTTGGGAAAATCGTTTGATTAAATTAAACAATCTGCCATGCATAATGACATGTTATATTAAACACTCGTGGGCTTAGCAAAGTTCTCCAGGCATTCAAATTATAGCAATTGTTGATTTCTGAAGGTCTCCTTTTTTATAAAACACACTAAACCAAAATTTTGAAAACTTGCTGTAAAATGACTTTTAAAAAGATTACATTGTCTGGGCTATAGTTAGCGATTTCATTAAATGCATTAATTAATCCACGACTTTGTTCGCAAGGTCATTATGGGCTCCACCGCGCTCAAGAGATAATAACTTTGTCTTAATGTATTGAATTTCCTGCATTGAGTATACAGACACTTCTGTTTAATTTAACACGAATTGAGTTGATATCGTCGGACTTAACTCTTGTTGAGTTAATACACGGGATTCTAAAATCGTCATATCGAGTTTTACACCCTCTAAATCAGAGATTATATTACTGTTAGCACAACTACAGGGACATCACATGTGCATACCTTAGGTAGCGAACCATCATCACTCACGTCACAGTTAGCTGCCACGTCGCGCTCGAATGGATTTGTCAAACTCGCAAATTTCTGCTTCAAGTAGTGCTCATTATCAGCTTGAATCATAAGCTAAAGTGTTCATTATCAGCTTGAATCATAAGCTTTTGGAATGACCATACCATTTAATAGTAAATTATTTATATTAGACGACTTGATTAAGTCGACTCAGACGATAAAGACGTCTCCTAATACATATAATATATGGCTAATATATAGCTCACGATTTCACAGTCCACTTGCTAATCCCATGACGCGATTTATAATACATTTCAACCTATAAAATATCTCACTCCCACAATATGCTTGGATTGTGAATTTCACTTTTGCTTGTGACTGTATACTTCGAAATTATCGTCGTCGTCAGTTTATATATTTATATATGGTTTATCTATTAAAAAGATATAATAACCAATCTTACCGAATACAAAATTTGAAGAAGCCAAAAACTTGTTCCATAGCAAAGCAATACCAAAATCATATAACCAGAATTGTTTACCTTTCTACCAAGTTACGGTCTAATCTTAATTCAAGCATGAGTGAATACTAAAACGAATGCAGGGTAATTGTCAACCTCGTACCCAGGGCCTTTGCGCGGTTCAGAGGCTCTGGTACGGGAAGCAAAGGCCCTGGTAAACACTGGTCATGTGACTCCAAAAATATTGGACATTTCGTAATAATTTAGTTTTCAATCCGGGGGGAGCGGAGCCGATTGATTTTATCAAACATGGCAGCGCGAAGGAGCGACGTTTTCGAGTTTTCATATTATTATGATAAATAAAACTTTCCTAGTGAGATTTAAGTGTGGGTACTATATTATCTACACTGTTAATTTCAGGGAGTTAACTTAACTCCGGTGGAGTTATACTGTACCTCAATTAACTCCAAATGTGGAGTAAAATTAGGTTCAGAATAATACCACTGGAGTTAAATTAACTCCCTGAAATTTACAGTGTATGCATTCTACGAGCTTTCTTTCGACAAATTGTGGAATAGCTAACGGTAATACTTATCAAAGCCTAGGACGAAGATCAAACTGAGAGAAAACTAGTCGAGTGATCTGTCTTTAAACTGTCTATTTTGTATCCAATGCAGCTGCCTTGTGTGCGACGTTTTATAAAGAATTAAATAAACATTGTTGATTATTTAAAGTAATTTTTATGTATTGACCAAAGAATATCACTTGGGATTTTATTGTACTTTTATGGAAGGATAAATCAGAGGGGACATCTATGGAAACGAAATTCTTCATGTGTATTAAACATGTAGTTTATATCAAAGCACAATAATTTGAAACAATTAACTGGTCGAGTGACAGGTTGGTTTCCGTATGTATTTAATAGATAATTACTGAGGCCAACGGCATTATTCGATATATTGCAGCCAGCTGAGGCCGAAGGCCGAAGCTGGCTGCAATATATCGAATAATGCCGTTTG